AATCAGCTCAATCAAAACACCTGCACAGGTTTCCGCAGCCTTTAAATGGCCTCTTACTCTGGGTCAGTAGGACACGCAGTCATGGAGAAGACAGACGACTGGACAGGTGTCCAGAAGACGGCCATCGACTCCATTCACTAAGAACAGGGTAAGCCAAAAAAGGTCATTGCTGAAGAAGCTGGTTGTTCACAGAGTTCTGTATCCAAGCATATTGACAGAAATGCGATTAGCCCTATTTCTGGTGCATGTTTTCCTTCCACTGAACTTCCTGTGAAAATGCTTGGATTCATCACTGTCTGGACAGCTAGCTTCTTTAGCAATGATATTTTGTGGCTTACCCTTCAATCAATCAATCAATCAAGTTTATTTGTATAGCACAATTCAGCAACAAGACAGTTTGAAGTTTTTTTTACATCATAACAATGTAAAAAAAAAAAATGGCAGTGACTTTATCTGTCAGTTCAGCAACCCTCCTCATGATTGTCCAGCTTACTGATCCAGACTGCGAGACCCTTGCATATTTTTGAGTTAATTAGTTGATTAGGTTGTGACACCATTAGCTTCCAGTATTTAGCTTTTAAACAATCTACATAATGTATAAGTTTCACTATCTAAAATATAACAAAAATATAAAAATTTTTCACAATACCTCTTTTTTTTTAGATGTACCAAGTTCTGCAATGTTTATTACTCTGTCTGCAAACAAATGTGAACTTAAAGCCACTTTTTTTTTAATGAAGCCGGACATAACTGTAGCATTTATTTCTCAATCAATGCTCAGAAGGTTGTATTGGTATTTCAAGCTGCTGTTTTCCTAATATGCATTACTCCGCATATTTTGTTTTTGCTTACACTGTATGTTTTGCCATTTGCAAAATGGACAAGACTCATCATCTTTTTTCTGGGGCATTTCAAAACTGCAATTAATTTTAGAAGAACATCTATTTTCAAAGAAGCTAAGGATTTTTTAAAACCCAAATCATGTAGTTTAACATTACAGGCATAGTGTTGAAAATAAAGTGCCAACGATACAGCATAGGAACTACAATATGAAGGTAAAAAAAAATGAAGAAAACGATCCATCCTTCTTGTTAAATGAGATAAAATAGAATTACTACATTGATAATCCTGTTTCTTGAACCACCCTTCAAAGTCTACTGAAACTCTCTGGAATATTAAAAGCAGTTTTGTCTGTCACAGTAAAGACAATATTCTCCCTGTGAGATGTACAGTCACAGCTGGAAATACTTGAGCGTTGCCAGAGAATAGCGTGCAGAGGACCCAACATGATGCAAACAGTATGCTGAGGGAATGGGAGTGTTTTATTTAAAGCCCTGTGAGGATGCTGGATGTGACTACCCAGACAGCCATAATGATTTATGCTAATGTCTGTACTACATGTGTGAAAGTAGCATGCAAGCCAGCAGGAAGGAGCAAGTTATCAGTTGGGCTTGTTGAAATGTTCATGTGCAGAGTTTAAATGAAGCACTGATGTGATGCTAATCTCAAAAATGCCACTGCAGTAGCTTGTAAAGGTGTTCACCTCCAGAAACATTTTCACATTTTGTTCTGCTAGAGCCACAAAGTCCAATGTGTTTTATTTGTACCCTAAATAAATGCAATCATGTTGCTTTCGGAAGTCACCTAGTTAGTAACTAAAACCCACCAATTTAACCCCTGTGTAAATAAGACGAGCCTTGTGAAGGTCAAGGAGCACACTGGAAAGGTCAGAGGGTTGTGGAGAAGTTTAACCAGCATTGGTTTATAAAGAAAAGTCTTTGAGCATCAAACTTGCATACAAACTAATATTAAAGAAACTAGATAACAAGGCCATTAACCAGAGAAGTAGATACTACAGAGATTCAGAGATCAAGTGGAGGAATCTGTCGACAAGACATACTTTAGTCACGCACTCTGCAAATCTGACTTTTAGAATAAAGCTGCAAGAAAACCCTTTTTCTTGCAGCTTGTGAGCTGGTAGGGGACACCAAAACATGTGGAAGAAGGTGCTTTGGAAATAGAAAATCAACTGATAATTTGACCAGTTGTCATGAAGTGGGGTTGAAGGTGGTGAGGAGAGACGCTGAGACCCAGGTTATGGTGATGAAGAAGATGAATATATTTAATGATGAGCTCAGTCAGTCCAAAACAGGCAGCACGGCAAAGAGACAGGCACACAGCCAAATACCGGTAGCAACTGAACACACAGGACTGAAAAACGAGAGCTAACGCTATCCAGGACTTCACAGTTCTACTGGAGCGAAACAAGACGTGACACAAACGACACTGACTTACGACAATAAACACGACGAGGATCCGACACAGACAAAGACAACAGGTGGGGTTAAATACACAGGGAAGGTAATCAGGGAACGGGATACAGCTGGGAGCAATCAACAGGGAAGATACAGAGACAGACTCACAGAAACTCAAAAATAAACACACAGAAACACGGAACATGACACCAGTAGGCAAAATGGGAAATTAACACTGGTCCTCACTCTGAACACATCATGTCCGCAGTGATACACGGTGGTAGAAGCATCATGATATGGAATGGCTTTTCTTCAAGTGGGACAGACTGGGAGTTGAGGGGAACTGAATACACAGCAATCCTGGAAACAAACAAAAAAAAACTTTTAGAGGCTGTACAAGATTTTAAACTATAGATATAGCCAAAGCTGAAGATCAAAACACATCCATGTTTTAGATTGACCTAGTCAAAGTTCACATAAGAGCATTGTGTGAGACCTGTCTCTTTCACTCCCTCTTTCTTACTAGCTCTCTCAATATTTGTGACCAAACAGCTTAATTGACACACCATACAAATCAATAAATGTATATCCACTGAATATTGCATTTAAGCAAGCAGAATAAATCAAACATATTTTCATGCAAACTGAGGCCAAAAGTCTAAAATACCTAATTTTTGCAGTAAAAATATATAGAAATAAAAAAGAAAAACCCTATAAAACAAGATCACAAAAACAGATGAAACCTTTGAGAAATAAATATTTTGTGCTTTTGTCTGTCAGACAGTGAAAAAGGAAATATTCTCCATGTTGTATGCTTGTGTTGTCACTAGTGGAAATGCTTGAATTGGTGTCAGAGGAGAGCGTGTTGAAGATGCAGCATGATGCATCATAAGGGAAAGTGAGTGTTTTATTTAAAGTCCACTGAGGATGTCGGATAAGACTACCCAAGTAGCTGTAATGTTTTACGTTAATATCTGTTCTACATGTGTAATTATAGACAGTAGAAATAAACAAGTTGAAATCAGTATGCAGTCCAACAGCAAAAAATATAAACAGGTAATCTTATCAGTTATTAAATTACATGCTGTTTTTATTACATCTTCCAGAAAAAAGCAAAGTGTGGCTTGCAGAAGTATTAATGCTCCATGAACATTTTAACGTTTCGTTGATTGCAACCACAAATTTCCCTCCACCTGTGTGTAATTTATTATTGATCTCTGTGGAAATCCTGCAGTTTGGTGACGATCTCAGAGATCTGTCACTGCATTATAGAACAAACAGACCAAGGAACAAAGTAGACGAGTTTTGGGGGATAAATCTATGCGTGTTTGGCAAGAGTTTTAGACCAATTTATGATCTCCATCTCCACATCTGTGACAGGGAACTGAACTCGTTCGTTTGATTTTATAAGAGATTCTGGCCGTCTCGTCAAACTTCTCTTTCTTTTTGCAGAGGTTTGATCCAGTTACTCTTAGTCTAAACAGTTTGTGATTGCAGATGTTTCTTTAGAGAGAAAAGAAGCAGAATCTGTGTTGATGCTCCTGTAGTCATGCAGGTGATAAATTTCCCCCCTCAATGAAAACATATGTTTTGACCAACTTCAGCAACTTAGCCTCCATATTCAGATTTAGACACGGTCACACCATTTTCTACAAAAACACACGAATTCATAGATTGGATTCTGTGAAGTTCCATGGGACCTTTGGCAGCTCTTTTATTTGGGATAAAAAAAAAAAAAAGTCCAGCCCTTTTCTCCCATCCCCGCTCTCTCTGATGGGGTTTCCTTCTCGCCCTCCTTCGCCCTCGTTCCTCCGCTCCCTCCTTCTTTACTCTTCTTCCGCTCTTCCTTGGCTGTGATGTCCTTGAGGACCAGCTGAAGCTCCCATAAAGCCTGCAGTAAATGGCTCTAATCCGGTAATAAATGGCTGTGTCCTACAGACAAGGGTGTGAGGCTGCTGTGGCCGTGGGTTTTATCAGATGGAATGGCTTTGCCACACAGACACACACGTTGCGGAAACACACAAACATTCACAGATGTAACAGAAGCTGCATACCATAATAGAAGGCCTTTACACCCCGATATTGTTTCCTCCTCTCTCTCTTTCTCACACACAAACACACACACACACACACTTGCACACTCATTTATACACCTTCAGATGGAATCACAGCGTCTTAGATTGTGCAGCTTTTATGGATGCCATGCAACAGCAGCACCATTATTACCTTTAAATGATTAGAGATGCGACTGTGATGTATTATGATGATAGCATCGTATGGAGCTGTTGCACCACTCTTTATGCCGGCTGGCGAAGACCGTAACTGAAAGAAGGAGCAGGGAGGGACACAATAGGAAGAATAGTAATGTGACCTTTTGAGATAGTTGGAGTTCACCTGTATTTAATCAACAAATACAATTGATTTTTATCTCTCCGGGTTTTATTTGTGTACCACTGTAGTGACATAGCCCTCTGAGGCTGGATTGTGTTAGTGTGTGTGTGTGTGTGTGTCTGTGTGCGTGTGTGTGTAAGATGGGTGGGGGGATGTCTTACAACCTCCTCATTCCTTGTTGAGTAGTAACCCAGAGCGGTGCTTTCATTTTCCTGTCATAACATATATTGATTTTTTTCCCCCCCCTACCCATGTGTGTGTGTGTGTGTGTGTGTGTGAGAGCTGTACCTGCAGACGCGTAGGTGTTTGTGCTCTAAGCGTTGGACTCTGATGGGTGGCTGTGCCTCCGTTCAGGTGGAGCTGACCGGCAGCAGCGTGTTCGACTACATCCACCCGGCGGACCATGTGGAGATGGCCGAGCGGCTGGGGATCAAGCCGCATCTGCGGGCCGAAGCCGGCTGCCACATGGCCCCCGACAGCGCCTCCAGCGCCGCCTCCACCTCTTCACTAGCCGGTACCCCTGAGCCTGGTACTTTTTGTCCCCGTAATAAGCAGCTAAATTTAGATTTTTGCCGTTTCCCTAAGCACAGTCTCTCGCCACGTAATAGAGCGGTGGTATTTTTTTTTTCTTTCTTTGTTTATCAGTCGTTAAAATGGTATTTTTTTTATCTCTGACAGCAGGTCCCTCCAGTCCTCATTCTGCTGCTGACGATCCTCCAGAACGTGGCTTTTTCATCCGGATGAAGTCCACACTCACCAAAAGAGGCCTGCATGTCAAATCCTCTGGATACAAGGTAGCTACGGAGGAATTCACCATAATCTGAAGATATTTATTCAGTAGGTAGGGGGTACAGTTTCAGACAGTTCATGACGTGCCTGTTGGCTGAAATAGAGGAAGTGCTGTTATTACCAGAGTTTTTGAACAATCTGGATTTTCTTGACTGGTTACAGATTTCCAGTTTTATTTTTTATTTTGTTTGATTTGCCATCTGCCGATTTACCAATTCTGATATTTTCAAGGATTATAACAAGTAAAAACAAAAAGCAAATGCTGCAGGTTATCTGATAGATGTGTTAGTATTGTATTCAAGATTAAATTACAAGCAGCCACATTTTTGCATTAAAGCTTATCATAGATTAAAGGACATGTCCATAACCTTTATCTCTTTTCTTTAATAAACTTAATGTGCATCGAAGTGGTTTTAGACTGAAAATAGTCAGAGATCTTAGTTTTTATGCTTTCTATAACTCGGGAGATGAATTTTGATTTTTCATTGTTCAACCTGCAGATCAGAGCCAATCTCTGGCAATGTGTGTGTGTTTTTTTGTTTTGTTTTGTTTTTTTCAGCATCCGTAGCATTTTCTTCAGCTATATGGAGCATAGAGGCCCCTGGGTAACTTTGCCCCCTCAACAATTCGTGCTCTCATTTTTACCCATGAGTTGCCATTTTGTCCTGTCCTAATTGCGTTTTGTACCTACAATAATTTCACACCCAGCTTACTCAGTTGTGGAAAAAATGCATTGACAGTCATAAAATGCTCACACAGTTTGCATAATTTAACTTAATAGTTTATTATTTTCAGCCTAGTTGCATTTATTTTGTTTGCGTGACAAAATAAGCCATTTTATCTTACGGATAAAATGTGGAACACACTAGTTGCATTTATTTGGTTCTCATCTTCGTTTGACCTTTTGAGTATTATGAAATATGACAGCTTGTTTCCCCTGATTAAGGAAAAGACGACTTCGTAATGACAGATATATTTTTTGTCCTACCGTCCCATAACTACGAGATAATTACAGAAGGCTGGTGCCAAACTTGGTGCCAAACATCCTGTGGCATCCTTTCAAAAGTAAAGTCAGCTATGACACAATAAATGAATGCTAATCAACAGTCTTAGGGTGAAATGAGTAGCACATACCTTATAATCCAGCTTCTTCTGTCCTACCTGTTGCTGCACACAACTGCTCAGCTGGCTGAAAGAAGGCAACGACAGATTTCCCTCCCTTTTAAATTCAAATTTGTCTTTTTGGAAATATTTATTTGGGGGGAAAACTGTCAAGTTGTAAAAAAATTAAAAAAGCATTGCCCATCACACTTTTTAGTTTACACTGTGATGAGCATCTTTTCTGTTTATTTATTCAAATAATTAATGTTCAAGCAAATGTTATGGACAACTTTTCTTATAATTATAATTATTATTAGGTCACTTTATCTTAACAAAAATAGGAAAACATTTTTCTGTTTTAAATCGAAACAGGAAGATAATCTTGTGCATTTTCATAAAACTATACTCTGACACTACAAAATCTATGAACATTTTACTTCAGGCAATCTCAGAGAATCCAGAGAATAAACAGCAGAGATGGAAAAAGCATAAAAATATTGTTGTCAAGCAAAAGTACAGTTACGTTGATAAAATTTTTACCTCGTAAAAGTTTAATTTAAATAAAAGTTACAAATTACAATACAATACAATACAAATTACAATCACAAGCAGCAGATAAAACTGGTACTATTGACATTTGATGTTTAAATATTGTACAGAATGTTTATTTGGTCACAGCACGGATTAACTTCCACCAATATTATGTTTACCTATTTTCGGTTGGATCAAAATCTCTAGATTTTGTCTCTTGCTGCCCAGAGTTTCACAGCAGTCTCGTTTCATGGCTCTGACCTTATCACACACTAAACCAGCTCACCTGGCAGAGTCCACCGCTCCCGCAGCTGTAATGTCAGACACCAGCTCCGTTCTTGTTTTGGTATTTTGTTTACAGCATTCACCCCGTCCAATTATTCAGTTCGATCTCCACTTGGATGTGTCGATGCGTTAGTGTGGCTCTGTTTTTAAGGACCGCGCTCTCTGCTTGTCAGGTCATCCACGTGACCGGTCGGATCCGCTGCCGGCCCGCACTCGTCCCGGGTTCCTCGCGCTCGGTCCGTCGCCCCATGGGCCTGGTGGCTCTCGCGCATACGCTCCCGCCCTCCACGCTCAACGAGGTCCGCATGGAGAGCAACATGTTTGTCTTCCGAGTGAACATGGACTTGCAGGTCACATATTGTGAAAACAGGTAGCTTATTTTATTATCATGAATTTTTGTGCGGACACTAAGCGCCACCGCACGTTTGTCCAATGTGTGGATTTTTGTTTTACGTAATTTTTTTCTTTCTGGAGTGTGCCCACATTCATGTTTTTTCATGAGCGGCTGGCAGAATCCCCAGCCAGCTGGTGGTTTTTAGAAAATACATCTGCTTCTGTTTAGTTGACAAATTAGTTTTTTTTTTCTTTGTTTTGTTTTTGTTTTTGTTTTTTTCATCCATTGCTCCACAGGATCTCAGAGTATATGGATCTGACCCCAGCGGAAGTGGTGGGACATACCTGTTATCATTTCGTCCATGTGGAAGATCTGGAAAACATCCGGCAGAGCCACGAGGACCGTGAGTCTCACACACATTTCCACATGCAGACAGCTTCTCTCACTAGTGATATCGAGATGCCGTAGGTGTGCGTTGTCTGGTTGTGCAAGGCGCCCTCTGCTGCCACGTTTCTGAACTAACCAACTTCTTCTTTCTCACCGTCAGTGCTGAGGAAAGGCCAGGTGGTGACGGGCTACTACCGCTGGCTTCAGAGGAGAGGAGGCTACCTGTGGATCCAGTCCACTGCCACCGTCTCCATCAATCACAAAGCCCCCCATGAGCGCAACGTCATCTGGGTGAACTACGTCCTGAGGTCGGTCCCGCAGCTGCTTATCAGATAAAGCTGTTTGTTACATGCGGACAATATTTTGCCCGTGTGAAGAAATCCTTTCGGGGTCTAGGGGGGAGAGAATAGGTGATGAAACATGCAGGGATTATTGGTGGAGATTTGGAGGTCACTGAGAAAGTACTGACTTCAAAGCATATTATTTCTGAGCTTGTTAATTCTGACAGCCTTAACACAAACTGTTGAAATAAAGCCCGACTTAGAAATATAAGTGCTTTCATTATTTTTAAGGATACCTGACGAGGAGAGAGAGAGAGAAAGGGCAAAGTGTTGGAGAAACCAGAAATTTATGGGTCTTTTTCCAAGTTCTCCCTTTTGTTTCTTCAGTCCACAGAATATTTTCCCAAAGGTCTTGTTAATTATGAAGATGCTCTCTAGCAAATGTGAGATAGCCCTTTACATCAGTCTTTTTATTATTGTTTAATTGTGATACTGGCACAAAATTCGGGCCTGGTCAGACTAAAGTTATTTGCTTGATCGTTGGGTCTGCTTGCATCTGTGCTGCTTTTAAAAAGTCTGCAATACGTAGATCACAGAGAAATCTAAACGAGAATGCATAATATGAAACTTTGTTAATCTACTTGTTCTATTCTATATAGAGGAGTAGGCAGCTTACCGTGTGGAATAAACAAAGACGGGTGCAGAAGTTTATTAGACTGTAACAAGTGCGATGCGCACGCAGCTCCGCTCCTATCAAGCACACATCCCAGATGATTTGCACTTGACTCACCCGGTGGCTACAACAAGTGGCAAAATAGAGCAGGAAGATTTTTAAACAAATCTAAAAACAGGAGAAGTTATACTGCTTACTAAGACTCTGCTCTATAAACTAAAATGTAATTAAAATAATATGTCGCTTCTACTTGGGGCTCTGGCCTATAATTAAATTTATAGGATCAGGTTCCGATACAATGCCTACAGGCTCAGGCCAAGTCAGGCTGGATTTTTCCTTGTCCCAGTCTAAACTTTACTCTTTATATGTTGTTCCTTTTGTCACAGTTTTGCTGCCATTTTTGGTGCTTTCTGTCCAGGGAAGTTTCATCACTGTTTCATGTTTTCTCCATGTATGGATAAAGTGGGCTACCGAATCATTTCTTCTTTCAAGAGCTACGTTTTAAAAATACAGAAAAGATTATTTTAAAAGTTACTTTGAATCAGTCAGTAAGGTGTCCTGGTAGTTTCTGTGGTGTGATCCAACATTATTAGTATGCAGCAATATAACAATGCCTTCTTGTTATTCAGCTCTGTTGCTCTGAATTAGCAGATATGATCCTATTGAAAAGCTTTTAGGCTGAAACGCAACATTTCAAATGTCTTCACCTTGTTTTTAAATATAAATTACCTTTTAAATGTTGTATTACTCTTGGTTATGTCTTAATGTATTTCATACATACACACAAGCGCATCCAGAGTAGCTAAATGCTGGCTCTACAGCGAGGCAGTCAGACAAAAACAAGAGGAGTAGGCTGAATTTCAATGCTAATTAGACTAAAGCTATATAATTAGTACAAATGGATGTCAGAATTTTAGGTCTGAATGGTGTTTTAGTTAATTAGTGTTGTAATTACAAGAGCTCATTAACTTCTCAAACAGCCTCCCCTCCTTGTCGGAGCTTAACTTTGTATAGGTGGGCTGCTAAATGGGACACCGTGTGCGTTTTTGTGTGCGTGGCGATGCGTATGTTTGTTTATTAAGGACTGTTTAAGGGGCCGGGGGTGTGTTAGGCAGAGGTTAGAAGCAGCTGAGGTAGTTTGGCTATTGGAGGCTGTTATTTGCCTGATTATATGTTGTGTTCCTGTCTCTAAGTATTCACTCAAAGTAGTGCTGTTGCTTTTTTTTTTTTTTTCCTACGTAAGTGGATTTAAGTGGTTGATCATTTGTTCGTCTCTCTCTCTCTCTCCTCTCTTTCCATCCAGTCGAACTGAGATGCCCGACACGCCCTTGGATCTGCTGCAGCTACCGGAGAGCATAAGAGCGGAGAGACTCCGAGTCAGCTCGTCCCCCACCGACGGCTCCCCGCAGGCCCGAGGTGGTGCACATTACTTGTCATGCGTGTGGAAAATACCACTTCCCTTCAAAAGTATTCACACTTTTGAGCGTTCTAGCTATTTGTCACGTTACAGCCACAAATGTCAAGGAGTTTCAATGGAATTTTATGTGACAGAGAAGCAAATACATAGTACAAATTTGTGACGTGGGAAGGAAATAAGTCTGAAAAGACGGCATGCATTTGTATTCAGCCTCCGTCTTATACCACTGAAAATCAAATCCAGAATCCAGGAACTGCTAAAATCTGATGCCACACCCTGTTTGTTTACATACAATGTGAAGAAGAAAATTCTTCTTCAGAGGTCCTATGTATATTCCAGGCACATAGTGCCATTTTATAGGTCATTTTTTTTACTTATTTAAGACAATTTTATTTATATAGCACATTTTCAGCAGGAAGGCATTTCAAAGCGCACAATCAATTAACAATCTTATCTTCAGTTGTTATAAAAATGCTGCCAAACATTTGACTTCGCAATTTAGCACTTTTGAAATTGGGCCTCTCTCTCTTTAAGAAGCTCCTGCTCTTTCTGACACTCCGCCTTCAGCATGATAACATTTCTCAGTTAAGCCTTTGACAACATTGTCAGCAGCGTTGCACTCAAAAGTAGTTTGAACGATGAGCTCAACACTTTAATAAGCATAGTCAGCTTGGCGCATGGAAGTGGCAGCGTCATGATGTGGGGATCTATTTCTTCAGCAGGGACAGGAACAGCAGCTTCAACCCATTTGACTCTGTGAAGTGCCTCCTCTCTTCATCGAAATTTCTTTTCCTGCTCAGGTCAGCCACCGGTGAAGACAGTCAGAAAGAGCGACCCTGACAGCAAAGGTAGAGAGAAATTCGCTGCCCCCGTCGTCCAATCAGAGGAAAGGAGGAAGCGCCTGCTGAGGTCCGACCACGAGGGAGCGCCTCCGGAGAGCCGCCGTCGCCTGGAGGAGCTCCGACACACGGAGGAAGTGGTGTCAGCCTCCTCAGACCTTGCAAGCGAAAGCGAGGGCGAGGAGGAGGAAGAGCCGGAGTGGGAGCAGGGGGGCGACAGCGACAGACTGAAGCAGGAAGACAGCGGGGGAGGGGGCAAGCAGGGCAGAGGAGGGGACGCCCCGACGGGAGGTGACAGAGTGGGCCGGGTGCACAACGGCCGGGCCGTCATCCAGCAGCTGAAGAACGTGGTGGCGCCGTCCACCCTGCCGCAAAGTCCCACCATCAAGACTGAACACGAAGTCCTGTCCACCGGAGGGCGCTGGGGGTCCCACACGCACGCCTCTCAGCCCCAGCCGACGCACGCACACACGCCGTCCAGCAGCCTGAACGGCGACAGCCCCACCACCCCGATCCCGGACTCCTCGTCCAGCAGCGAGGCGCCGCCAAAGGGCCTGTTCACCCCTCCGTCCCCCGCCCTGTCCCCCGCCATGTCCGTGTCTTCCCCACAGCCCCGTGAGGACAGGGCCGTCTCCGGGATAGTGAGCCGCGGCGCCGCGGCCGGCGGCACCGGAAACGGCCCCGACTTCGAGCTGCTCCAAAGACTGGCGGGCGGCGCGGCGGGACGGGTCCTCTTCCACCCCCTTGCCCTCGGCCCGCAGGGCCCTCAGAGCCTCTACGCCCCCAGCACCATCCGCTACGCTCCACCGGAGCTGCCCCCCTCCCACCACCACGGCGGGGGCCACGGCGACAGCCTGCAGCTACGCTCGGACCACCACAAGGGACCCCCACCGACCTTCTTCCCGCACTTACAGCGGCTGGCCGGGCTGCCACCCTTCAGCGGTTTCTCACCGTCTGACAGCCCCTTCTCTTCCGGCCTGCCTTTCTGTATGAACGGACTGAGGGGGGCCGCGGGCACGGAGGAAGACTGAGCCTCACCGGGGGAGAAGGAGAGAGGAGAAAATCAAAAATGAAGTGACATGACAGACCGAGAGACACTGCGAAAGGGCATGAAAGACAGAAATGGCCTCTGAGGACGTTACTAATTGGACAATGAGCTGAGTAACTGCAGTCTTGAAGAACGCGATACAAAAATCTACGGTGAACCAGTGACAGCAGCTCTGAGAGAAAACCGAACACGGACACTTTTGATTGGCTGTCCCTGAAGACGTCTCATTTCCGCAACAGTACAGAACTCTGCTCTGTCCTTCTCTAGACGACCGCGTTGCTTTCTGTGTCTCTTCCACTTTGGAGAAGCCATACTGTACATAGCTACGAACGAAACCACGAAGACCCTCAGCTTACATCCATGTCACTTTTACTCCAGTTAAACCAGTAGGAGGAGGAGGAGGACTCTTGCCAGGGAGGGGACGAAAAGAGACGTTTGGAGTAAAATGTTTTTATCATTGCAGTATTATAAAAGTATCTCTACCACTGGGTTTCCCTTAATATAGATAGAGATGACCTTTTGATGTTTTATATCGGATCTCTGAAAGATATTACAGGAGTGTTCATCAGTCAGCCATACTTAAAGCACAGTGTTGGGACAAAGCCGTGAGTAACGTGGTCCCAGACATTCCAGTATTATATATAGAGTGGAAAACTGCATCACAGACAGTTGTCGTTTGAATATAAGATGGTAATTTGTTTGACTAAGTGTTAATTATAGTATATCCTTTATGAAGCTGAGGTTGTGTTTGTGTATGAAAGCCATACCGTTTCTTTTTATTGTTTTTTTTTTAAACATTAATTCATTGATGTAGGATCTTTGTTTCCAAACAAATTAACATAGTTTTATTGGATGTGAACTGTCATCCATTTTTCTTTTTTCTTTTCTTTTCTGTTTTTTTTTTTTTTGAAAAAGTATATTTCTGAGAATGTTTAGAGGAGGACGTGGTGCAGGACAGAAGTGTTTTTGTCACCTGGACCTCTTGTGTTTTTTATGAGCACTTACTGAAATTTGTTCCAGTGTGAACTCAATGCACTTGGTGACTCGGATGTTTGATCCTGTTAAAACAGAAAAACAACAGAAGTGGTCGTTAATAATATAGACTGACTACAGAGCACTGACGGGGGGAGGAGGGGCGGCGGTGTTTGTGTTTAAAAAAAAAAAAAAGACAGGTCGATAAATAGACCCTTGTGGTCATTAAAATATGACCATTTGGGGTCGATAAAACAAAACTGTCAACTCGGTATAGGGTTTTAAATTAAAGTAGGGAAACGGGGCTCTCGGCGTTAATTAGCATCTCCGGTAAAGATGTGCATGTGAAGTCATCTTTTATTGCAGCGGCATATAAAGCCGCAATAAATACCTGCTTTTAATTTGAATGCTAATATTCAGAGAGTATTAAATACAAAACGCCCGACGTTGTGAAGTTATCATTCGCCACAATTAGTGGCGACAGAATAAATGCGACAAAAGCAGCAAACAAAAACGCTTTCTCCCCTTTTTTGAAATTTGTAAGATCACAAAGCGACTGTTGGGTTTGGGGCGCTCAATAGAAGAACACTCCTGTTGCTGCACACTGCTGATCAGCTGGCTGAAAAGTAGGCTGCTACACTTTGCTCACCGTTACAGGGATGACAGATTCAGCTAATACACACAAGAATATTTACACATGAAAGTGGAGAAAAATGGACAATCATCATTCTGCATAAACTAAACGATCGTCACACATGACTAATGTCAAAATACTGAAATTGGAGTCACAAAAAGGTGGAATAAATGCTTCATAGTGAGAAAAAATGGTCGAATATTCTATGCAGTAAGCACCTGAATACTAATACTAAATTTAGCTGGTCAGTTTGCTTTAGTTTACGTATCAAAATTGGAGTGAAACAACACATTTTGCGGATACCACAGCTAGAATTTAAGTATCAGTGGATTACATAAAATTAAAAGGGTTAGGCAATTAATCAGTGTTTTATGTATTCTCCCACCAACCCACATGTGCAAGGGATTTATGTAAATTATTAGGTAAATTATGACGCCGTAGTGTTAGTTTTCCTCTTTTACTGAAAGGGATTTGGAGATTTACATAAAACTCCAGAGAGACGAGCTAATCAGGTACATGTGCTATAAAAAGACGTGTAAATGCTGGATCATCAAAATGGAAAAAGAAAGTTTAAAAAAGAACAATGTGGTTTAAAAACTGTTAGAATTACACACTGGCCCACGCTGATTAAGTCATTTTAAACGATAATCTATAATCTATTCCTGGGTTAAACGTACAATGCAACATTGAGACCCAATTTCTCTTTGCTACTTTCTAAAAGGGAAAAGACAGGAGAATGTTCAGTAAAGCAGGGAAATGGAAAAAAAAAAAAGGAAAAGCTTCTCACCTAAACTTTCCCACAGTCAGAGCAAGGATTAAAAAGTTTACCTGAAACAAAACTAAGCTGCTCATCTTGCCACCATGTACAGTTAGCAGGATGCTAAAGGATAACTTACAGTTTTTCATTTGTGCAACGAAAGATGAATTCATTTTAAGCCTCTTTACACATCTTTATCAAGGATGCCAATAAATGTTGCGGGTGGCTCAAAGTGCAAAACAAGAAAACAAAAAAGTTTGCTTTTTACTAATTAAAATACTTTTCAAGTTCGAGAAAAAGGCATTTTCTACTTTTCAATTTGTGCTCGTGCCAAACGACGACGCTCGAGATCGAAGAGTGTGCAATTTGAAAACATTAAAATCCTAAAGTTTGACATTTTTCACAAAAAGAATCTCTGCAATAATGCGTCCAGTACTTAACGCATTAAGTACTCCGTAAATTATATATATATAAAAAATATGAACTAAAAAATTGTTTCTTAGCACTTTGGAATGAGGTCTTTTTGCACCTAAAACACAGGGAAAAAAAATGTCAAAAGCTTGGAATATTGGGGGGCTTTTTTCTTTTTCTTTTGCCTTCACAATGAGATTATAGTTTAGTCTCCGCTGAGGATTTAGTTCACACACAAACCTGATGCTCCCGGTCCAATGCTTGGGGAGGGAGAAACCGTTCAATCTGCTGTGTGCAATACACGCATATGATGTAACCGTCACACATGCCGAGTGTGGGAGCGCACTTGTTCTCGGATGTTTACCGGTGTAAAACTGCGAGTGTGGATGCGGTTCTGAGTGTGTGTTTGTTTGTTTGTGTGTGTGTGTGTGTGGGTGTCTTTTTGTTTCGGTCTTTTGTTCTCGTTGTTGCCGAATTTAAAACAAAAAAAGATGGAAAGAAAGTTAAAAAAAAAAAAAAGCTAACCCCTATGCCCATCACTGTGAATCTAACATTATCCTTCTCACATGTTTGTGAATATGTCAGCCGCCAACCATCGAAGAAAATGAACAAATGTAAAGAGCAAAAAAAAAGAAAAAAAAATGATGCAGATGACGATAACAATAAAATATTCCAGTAGAGGAGCACAAGTATAGATTTTGTCGTATTTTCTTCACTTCCTGTGCATATTTCAACCTAATTAGAGTCTGAAGTTTATTAAAGCCTGGCAGACACTTTAGAGATAAGCATGGCTTGTTCCTCATTCATATTCGCATTTTTGCAAATTTGTCATTTTTCAACACACATCCTTATGAAGGGTTTAACAGGATATATGACGCTGCTTTCTAGCACATTTACACTCCCTTAAAAATATTTATTTTCTTTCAGATTTGTCACATTTTATGTAACAACCTTGACCATATTACACTTTGATTTGATGTTGGCAGGCAAACAAAAACACATGATACAGATTTTATAATTATGAAGAGCAGGGGAATTTGTTCCATGGTTTTTAAATTGTATATTTTTTCTATTACAAATCAAACATAAATAAATTAGTGTACACTGGCATTCACCATGTTTTTACTATATTTTGTAGAACAACCATTCTCAAAATTACAGCTGCGAGTATTTTAGGGTGATTTTCTTTTTGCTTTCAGCATCTACAGTCTTTTTTTTTTATCAGTTCTTCTTACAGCAGTTCAAGCTTAGAGCATTTATGAAGTTTGGTTTCCAAGTCTTGCCAATAATTCTTAATTTGATTAAGGTCAAAGACATCCTGTTTCTGCCAAAGCATGATGCTGCCATCTTCTATAACTTAGTGAAGTTTACCAATTTAAATTTAGACCAGAAAGTTTAATTTTAGTCTTAGTTCACTTGTTTGCTGTATCTCCTACAGTTTGTGAAAAACTGATGATGTTGGCTTTCAATTCACAGAAAAGCATCAACTTGTTGCTTTATTAATTACAATCAGAGTAAAGTTTATCATGAAGGCCTTCACAGAACAGCAGCTTTTATACGGAGAGTATCACACACCGACCCTCTTTACTAATTAACCGACTTCTCAAGGTGATTATTTAATAGATTTTATTTTAAGGTACCAGAGTAAAGGGGGGAAGGAGTTGAACATAAATCCACGCCAAACTTTTCTCATTGCTATTTATAAGAAGCCATGTCTCATTTTCCTGACATTTCCAGTTATGCTTGACGTCGAGTTGATAAAATCTCCTTTGAGGTTTTCAGCTAGTTAACAAAATGTGAGAAAGCGCAAACAAAACAACACATGCAAACAAACAGGAGGGGGGAAGAAAAGTATATACGGAGAATATTCGTGTTGCTCCATATGCATGTCCGTGTATTATTAAAAGACCAAGTGGACAATCTTTTTATTTCCCTAAAGTGGACAAAACAATATAAATCCTTAATAAAAGGGCAGCATGTGGAGCAGGTGGGAGCAACCCCCTGGCAGGGCATCGCCCGAGAGCTCCGGATGCAGGAAACACTCGGCCGCAAATTGGTTTGGAAATGAACACAAAGGCGTCTCACTTATGAGAAACTATATATGCAGGCACGCGTCGCAATGTATGCATGCGTGCGCGTGCGGCCGCGCGCACGCTTTGCATGCGTCCTGCTGAATGCGTTATGTGTGTGTTGTCTGAAGCAGCCCCAGGGAGGGGCTCTGACATTGAAGACGGGTTAAATCCTGTTTTACATTCAAGTGGCAGGCCCTAGTTCATTAGAGTGAGGATCATTCCTCCTCAAGACCAAAGGAAGCGCATACTAAACAAGAGCAGTTGTTGGGGAGAAAATGCCATTGTACGTGCAGAAGTGTATGCACTGTATGTGTGTGTGTGTGTGTGTGTGTGTGTGTGTGTGTGTGTGTCGGGGGGGCGGGTTGCAAAGCAACTTTTCCTCTTTGTCTTATAGCGTCTTTATAAAGTGAGGAAAAGGTGTGGTTTGTGCAACTGAAACCGTTGCGTGCCGTTTGCGTGTGTGTGTGTGTGTGTGTGTGTGTGTGCGCGCGCGCCAGCGTAAGTCATGACAGCCTTCCCCTCCCCCCCGACTCGTCTTCAGCTCAGGCTGTCATTGAGTCACCCGAACGCCCTCTCTGTCACTAACTTTGATGGCTTATCTTACCCCCTGAATTAGAGTCGTGCTCCCGGGGGAAATACCTCAGCACATGTAAATGCATTTGAAAAAGTAAAAATATGAGAGGGAATAATAAAGCGAGGCATTGCGGGGAGACAGTTTCTGCCTTGCGTGGGAGTTACACTCCTTGTCCTTCATTCTTCCTCTTTTTTATATATATATATATATATATATATATATACTCGTAAGGTTTTCATCTTAGTCACCGTTTTCCCCCAACCAGCCTCTCCTCAGACAAATTTAAACTTCACTCCGTCTGAAGCCAGATCCTTTGATCCGTGTGTATGATATTTAACACCTGAGAGCGGACGAGCCGGCTGCTTTTTCGAAATAAAGCAAAGGTGGTGAACCCAACTTTTCAGGGCTGAGGGGCCGTTAATGTGAAATTGAGGTTTTTGGAAATTGCATGAGGAGGCCGGGACTCACGGCCGGTTGTGTTCGGCTGTTCAGGGTCTCGGATAGATGGTGTTTGTCAGTGAGGCCGCGTCTCCTGCCTCTGGGCACCCTGCCCTTTAGACGCGCCAGGCCTCAGGAGCCTCCTGCATGCCAAACAGACCTGTGCAGTCAGATGCAGCCACAGAAGAGAGAGGAGGAGGAGGAGGAGGAGGAGGAGGAGGAGGGGTGGGCGATCGGACGTGAGGAGAGACAAGTCCAAGGCGAAAAGGGTATGGAGGAGGGATCTGAGGAGGAGGGCCCGGCAGAGGAATCAGGGTGGTGGTCACAGCACAGCACAGCCTTCAGTCGGACCTCGAATGTGAAATCCAGCAACACTGAAAACACTTAGCAGAGGTGAGAATAGGTGAGAGAAAGGAGAGGAAGACAGGGAGCTGGTGAGGTGAGTCTAAACAGCAACGCTGTGTGTCGATGGCTGGGAGATTTCACAAACCTTTGCCCTAACCCAGTCAGAGATGGGTATCACAGACAAAGCCCACCCTGCCCAACTCCAGTACTCTCTCTCTCACACACACACACACACACAGCTACATGCTGCTCATTTCGTCTCATATACATGCGCGCAGATGAGGAGCTCATTATAAGAATTATGCATGTACAGAAAACACAGTTTGTACATCTTTTGACTCCCACTGCAGCAGGAGCATCTACTGACTCTGCATTTACCCATTATCTTCAGCCTCATTTGCAAAATTAAAAAAACAAAAAGAAAAAAAAAAAACACGACAGCCCCTTACGATGCATTGATTTTAAGCAGAACTTGTTCAAACCTCATCTCGAGAAGTTTACGTGTCTTTGGCGAAGCTTTCATTTTCAGTGATAATATAATATGAATATAATGCAAATGCTGCTTCTGCTGAGGAATAAATCAGGATATTCCAACAGTTATTCTCACTTAAAATGGTTTAAAATACACCATCACATCATATGACATCAAATTAGATGCACATGATTAAATGATATGGATTTTTTTAGGTTTGGCAGGAGTTACTGGTAGCGTTGTAATTGCAACAATAATTTCCTGTTGGACTGTTTTCTTTTACGGGGAGTTTCTCTTTCAAATAAAACAATATGAACATGGTGACGGCAGGATCACACTTTGGACTATTAATGCTTCATCGAAGGAAAATTAAAGTTTTGCAATGGCCCATTCAAAGTCTAAACCTAAATGTTATCACTTTAGTAAGGATGTGCACGATACTTACATCCATCACATCATGTACCTGCTGTTCCCAAGTGGTAAAGCTAACGTTAACCTTTATTAAAATTGCAATTACCTAAGCATGCTAAAGTTGTGGTCTTTTTAGAAGTTTGATTTAGATTCACTGTGGGCAACTCAAAAGAAAAGCAATTAAATCGAGAAGAGAGAAAGAAATAAAGAAAGAAAAGCTGGAACTTTAGCAGCAATCTTCAACTGGCTGCGAGACAGGGGGTTTTCAAACAGCCCTTAATACCTTGGGAAATACCTATTTTTAAGGATGAGAAAAGCAGTTACCTGAATAAACAGAAGATGAAATGACTGAATGCTCGAGACTCTCAGAGAGGCTTAGGTCTGTTGGTGGAGTTAATGGCTGGATTAAGCCAGTGCTGGGGAGGAGGGCAGCGCTAATGCATTCACTCTGCTTCCCTGCAGCAAAATGTGAGTGCAGTGATCAAGAAGGTTAATTAAATAATTATACTAATTAAATATAAAGCAGTATAATTGTTTTAGTAATAGACTAATCTGCCATCAGTTTTGTCAGCCAGGTTTCTGGATTGTAAAAAAAAAAAAAAAAAAATCAGGGGGAATATCAAATTAGAAGATGTAGGGGGTAGAGGGAGGACATATCAAAGTGTAATCCAAAAAATATTTGGTCAATTGGAGATCTATTCTTTAATATTTCACATATATGATTAGATAAATTTTGCACAAACTACCTCACTTTAATACATTTAGATCATTTTCTTATTTGACAATGTAGCAGCTAAAGCTAGCTACCTCTTTTCATAATTTCTACGCGTCTTTACCTCTACTGACTAAATTTAGTACAAAATTTAAAGCATTTGTGACACTTGTTCTTATTTCAGCAACAGTATGCAGTTTTACAGTTTACTCCGGATCTATCTTATTAGACACTTCAAGTGAAACCAAAGCTTGCTGCCGCTAACGCTAAGCTAACAGTAATTCAACAAAGTTTTCCACTTGTGAAAAGTTATTTTTACTGTTTTGAGTAGAGAATAGAGCATGGAGTGGTATAAAGCTTTACACCAGTCTTTGTTTTTTGTCACAGCAGCTGTACAAATGACTTTATAGTATTATGAATACATTAGTTAATGTAGCTCAATGCTACACTAGCTAATGTAGCATTAGTTAATGCTACAATAGACCAGGCTGGACATACTAACATCAGGGTTTATATTTGACAAGATAGCTGATAAATAAGGTTTACAAAATGCGAGATCCGCCGTAGTGTGTGGTTTTGATCACCTAAGAAATCAACCATGTTTCAAAAGAAGGGCTTAATACCTCAAATGTGAATATCCCACTGGGGATTTATCAGAAAAAAATCCAACACTGATGCTGGGTGTCACTACAGATTTCCTCTGGTTTTATTATTGTATGCACTGTGGTGCACATAAGTAAACGATAGTAAACCCCCGATCTCCACAAACAAATTCAATATAATTACCAGCATCAACTCCTTGCGTCCATTAAAACTGAACTTATAGACATAACCTGAAAACAGAAGATTCACTGTAAAGAGTTTTTGGATATAGTTTGGTACTATACATGATTTAAAAAAATAAAATAAAATACAGAACAAAATACATAAACACAGAGAGAACTGTGAAAAAATATCCTGTTTCCAAACAGTTTTAAGGAAGTATATTGACAAAAATCAAAGCTTTGACAAAAGTGCTGTTGCAGTGGTAAAATATTTTTTTTTAAACTTAAGCCCTCAGTGTCATTTTCTCAGATTAATTAAAAAAAACCTTTTGAGACAAAACAACTGTCATTCCCTGTTATTTTGAAGACTTTTTTTTTAAAGTGAACGGTCAGCCTTGATTCTAGTGATCAGGTTGATAAGACAGTCTGCAAAGAAGAGAGGAGACCGTCTGACTACAGTGGCACAAAAAGTAAATCATAAGCATCAAATTAAAAAAAAAAAAAAAAACAGATGAACATTTTTAGATGAACTAAAGGAGCTTTTGGGAAAAAAAAACATGTTTATTCAGCAAATAAACAGATTTTACACAATTTTCAGCATCTTTAAATGTTTTTTAAAAAAAAGTTAAAAGTTTTTCTTCACCTGAATAATTTTTTATAACAACAGATGACAGGCTTGCATTTTTTAAGCTCACAGTCTGCACATGAACATATATGCATTTTGCACAGACATACAAATAAGAGAAATCCTGAATCAGAGCATCAAGGAAAAAAAAAAAAAAAAAACCCACACACACACTACTGAGCATTCCTGGAAGATCGCTATTTGTTTTGGCCCTTGCTGCCACTGTCCTCACTGTCCTGGGAGCCTCTGTGACCTCGCTGCTCCCTCCTCTCGCGGCACTGCCGGCACTCTCCGTCGTCCTCCCCGCCGTCCCCCTCCTCGTCCTCGTGGATGATCTCCACCTCCAGGCGGCCGATGTACAGCGATACGGCGCAGAGCCAGAAGAGGGCGGCGGTGGTCACCACGGTGCCCTGGAGCAGCAGAGCTGGCACCGACAGCAGCATCAGCCTCCGCAGGGCGAAGAGGCTGCCAACGTAGGACGCGCCGCCAAACGACACGCAGACGCCTCCCAGGATGAAGAAGGCTGCGCGGAAACACATCGGCATGCTGTTACTGGAGTCACTCAGGAAGTGTCTGCAAAGGGGTTTTTTTGTTGGTTTTGAAACCGATGATGAGGGATCAAAAATAGTTGAATGATTTAAAAAAAAAAAAAAAAAGATCTGCACGTAATATTGAATCCCAGAAACGCACATCAGTGATTAATACTAAAAAAAAAAACACAAGGCCTTGACTCCGTTTCACTCTTGATGATTTCAGTCAGAAATCCTTGAGAAATTGTGAAGACCAAAAACTCCAGCTGCTGCATCAAATATCTGACACAATGTTTCATCTGAACACCATCGATTTTACAGCAGAGAGAGAAAAGCTGTTTTCCTTCTTTCTCATTAACAACATTTTTCGAAGGGAATTATTTATTTTTAATAAACCGCAGCCCAGTTAGATCTATTAGTTTTGAAGAATTTAACACTACAGCAACCTTCAGTTTCTATAAACATGATTGACTGTGCAATACATTAGATAGAAATGAATGTAATGACAAGTAAATGTATTTTAACTTAAGACAAAGTACAATAAATACAATTACTGCCACTCCTGGAATAGAAATGAAGGTTTCCACATAATCTGGAAAAGTCAACAATGTGACTCAGGTGTGAATGAATGTATTTCTAGCCATCTCGTTGTCTAAATACGTATTCTTTAGGTCCTTTCTTCTCTCCTGTCTTGCTTTCTTTCCTTGATTTCTTTCTGCTTTGTTTCCTTCTGTCCTCCTTTGTGTCCTTCCTACCTTCGCTTCCTTAGTTCCCTTCACTTTTCCAAACAGTTATCACCTTACATTAACATTTTACAGCCTTACAGATCATGGAATTCAAATTCAGCCAAGATGGCGGATATACAGGCTATCACTAGAGCTTGTGATGCGATTTTAACATATATAAAACATGTCAGGACAGCTTCTGGTGATCAAAGTTATGCCTAATTTAGGTCATTTAGAGAGGTAAATATGTCACCTTTGGCTATACATAAGTTTTACGGCCATTTTTAAATCTCTGATAAACGTGTTGGTCTTTTAAAAGTACTTTGTCAAGTTTGTAGAAAGACTCCACTTGATGTCTCCCGTTTTGTGGCACAGCGAGCATCGTCAGGGCAAAATGCCTCCAAACAACACGTTCGCTTTGCATTTTCCTCTAATTAAGGTTGCAAAGTCTCTTCTCTGGATGTCCCTCCTGTTACGGGAGTTTAAACCTTCCAGCTCACTGTTTGGACTGTGAGCCATGGTGGTTCAGTTCAGCCTCTGTAGGGAGGAAAGAGGCTTTTCTCTTTCTTTTTTATTCTCTTTACTACTCCCTCAATACTCTGCGATTTAAGCTTGAGTAAACTCGTACCGTATCCCGCTTCCCGTCCCACTTCACTCTGGACAAAAGCGATGACTCCAATCCCAGTCGCCAGCAAGCCGTTCCTGAACCACGACAGGAACCCTGCGAAACCACGAAGAGACGTTACAGACCGACAGCGCATCACACACACACACGCACACACACACACCTACACACACACACACACACACACACACACACAGTCTGCTCCTTTCACACACCAAGTAGGTCTGGCCACAGTTTAAACAAGTTAGTGAAAAGCTCAAGAACGTTGAAGTTTTACACAGAGAGTTCCTACACACACCCCAAATTTTAGATGTTATTTTTTATTTTTTTTTTTACAGATTTTAAATTTAATCATCTGTATGTTCAATAAATCATATATAAAACTCTGATCAGTCTATTCTAGTAGTGGGGTTGTTGTTATTTGGTAAGGTTAATAAGCCCTAGATCAATGCATATAACACAGAATTATTCAACAATAAATAGATTTAAATTTATCTCAACTAATGTCCATTTATGGCTCCACAACTATGGCCCTACTCAATCTATATTACTGTTTTAAAGCTATTTTATTGTTCAGTCCTAGTATTTCTACCTAAATATTTTTTTCCAGTTTTGTTAATAAATGTGGTTACCCAAAAAGTATTGAATTTTATGGGGAACTAAAAATAAGTCAAACTAGTCAATATCTTTGTCAAACTCATGGAAAATAAAATAAAAAAGGGTCCATATTTAATAGATATTAATGCATTCTTTGGAAAATTCAGATTTTTGTTAATCAAACAGAAAACAGAATAAAGTCTGGAAGCTTCTTCCCTGCCCCCACTACTCATTCAGCTCTTCCTGAGCTTGTCAGACTGCATAGAAACCCGACACATGTGAACACCGACAGCCAGTTCCACATCAAGTTAAGCTGAATTTCTGACTAAACTGCAGATGCTCAGCAACCAAAGTAAGAGAAAGATAAAGAAAAAGACTCAGATCTTCCTGATCCTTCCAGAAAAAGAAATGGAAAGTGACAACACAGTCAAAAAAAAAAAAAAAAAAAAAAAAAAAAAAAAAAAAAAAATAAAAAAAAATTAAAAAAACAAAAAAAAAAAA